TTCCTGCTTCTAAACTGGCGAGGTACCAGTAGCGCTTATCGTTCAGGAGCTAGCATTTGGGGTAGACAGGCAAACACGACGTTCATCGCAATCTAGAGCACAGTGGAATAAAATCCATTTTTTTTGGTAACATAATTATGACAACACGAGTATAGGAAATTGATTTTTTCCTGTGATATTTTAAAAGTCTAATAATTGCTGGTTTTTTTGTTTTGTTTTGTTTTTAATTTCCAGGAGGTCACACAACTAAACTGTGGCCCATTTTCTAACAATCCCCCCCCTCCCCTTTGGCAACCATCAGCTTGTTCTGTGAGGCTGTTTCTGTTTCATTTGTTTACTCCTTGTTTTGTTTCTTTAATTCCACATATAAGTGAAATCATATTGTACTTGTCTTTCACAGCACACACCCTCTGTGTCCACCCATGTTGTCAAAAATGGCAAGATTTTGTTTCTGTTCGTGGCTAAGTGGTATTCCACTGTATGTGTGCACCACATCTTCATCCACCCATCTACCAATGGGCACTCGGGCTGCTTCCATATCTTGGCTATTGTAAGTAATGCTGCAATGAACACGGGGGTGCCTGTGTCTTTTAAAGTTAGTGTTTATGTTTTCTTTGGATAAGAGCCAAAAGTGGAACTGCTATATCATAGGGCAGCTTTATTTTTAATATTTTGATGAAACTTCATACTGCTTGCCACAGTGGCTGCACCAATTTACAATCCCACCAGCAGTGCACAAGGGCTCCCCTTCCCCACACCCTCGCCAGCACTTGTTATTTGATTTGTTGATGGAGCCATTCTGACAGGTGTGAGGTGAGACCTCACTGTGGTTTTAATTCGCATCTCTCTGATGATTAGTGACAGCAAGCATCTTTTCACATGTCTCTTGGCCATATGTATGTCCTCTTTGGAGAAGTGTCTATTCAGGTCCTCTGCCCCCTTTTTAATAGGATTTTTTTTTTTTTTTGGTGTTAAGTTGTATGAGTTCCTCACATGTTTTGGAGATTAACCCCTTATTGGATGTATCACTGGCGAGTATCTTCTCCCATTCAGTAGGTTGTCTTTTCGTTTGTTGGTGGTTTCCTTTGTTGTTTAAAAACTCTTTAGTTTGATTTGGTCCCATTTGTTTACTTTTTTCTTTTGTTTCCCTTACCTGAAGATACATTCCCAAAAAGTTATTGTTAAAGAATTTACTACCTTTTTTCCCTTCTAGTTTTATGGTTTCAGGTCTTAAACTGACTTAAATGAGTTTACTTTTGTATATGGTGAAAGAATGTGCTCCAAAACCAAATAGGTACATGTCCAGTTTTCCCAACACTAAGTTTGGATAATAAAATTCCAGTTTTGTTTTAAAAGAATATGTACCTACATGCCGTAGAGCACAGAAAATGTGTGGAAGGAAGGATACCAAACTGTTATCAGGCACAGATTACCTCTGGTGGATAAGACTGAAGAGGCAATGGCTTTGACATTTTATATTTTGCTATTGCTTGAACTTGCTCAGAAAACATATTACTTTTATTTTTTAAAAGGGAGGCAAAGAAAAGGGTAAACTATATATTCATACAGGAAAAGGAATGAATGGACTTATTTTAAAAATTATCTCTGGGCCATTTTTATTTTATTACAAACTTTTTTATATTAAAAAACACGTATGTAATACTTCTATAATCAGAAAAAAAAGTCATAAATGGAAATAATCTATAATACTGATGATAGAGTCAATTTTAAGTCTGTTTACAAGGCCAAAGGTTACGGGGCTGGGTGTTCTTTAAGGAGGTTTGGATCCAATTTCGTTTACTTCTTTGGGGCTCATGCTTACTTTTATTGCTGGTGAAGCTATTTCCACATTTTTTTAAATGATTTCCATTCAACGTGGCCAAAAAGGAAAATCGAGGCCAACCACAAGGCAAGCCTTCCTGAGAGAAGACAAAAAGCCTCTGTAACCTATGGAATGAAAACTTCACCAGTGGAACGTGACTCTTTTGTCATGAGTGACTTCAATTGCTCGGGGACAGAAATTTTTAATGAGAACAAAGAGCATCAGAGCGATTTCAGTGCTCTGGTTGTCGTTCAGGCCAAGACACCAGTAACTTTATATCACAATGATGGAGACAAAGAACAAGGTGTCCCATTCACTGCCAGGATCCTGCCACCAGAGGGTCCGGGCCTTCGCACAGCCTTTCACTGAAGCGGAAACGAGAAGGAACGCTCGGGGGGCACGAGCAGGTAAATCACCATCAACCATAAAAACAACGGCAGAAAATGGGTAAAGAGATGAAAAGGTGCCGTCTGATCATTCACCAATGGAAAGATGTGCATTAAATCAGGGCCTTTTCTGTCGGGCACTGTTGTTTTTACTGAACAGTTAGACACCCAAGGAAATACCAGTTGGCTCTTAAAGACAATTTATAGCTGGGCTGGCCTCGTCGCACCTGGCTGTGTTTTGACAGCAGGTTTCGTCAGTTTACAGCAGAGATTCTTGTCTACACAATAAGCTGTCACTAACGCAACTGGACCTTTGGAAGAAGCCTGAGGCTCAGCGGCTAATCTCTCTCCTCCGAGTAGCCCTCCCCCTTTTAATGAAAAGCAAAAGCCTCCGGCTGGGGGCACAGCTTCAGCCTCTTGGGGGGACCCAGGAGCCTCCTGGGGGTGAGGGTCAGCCCCTGCGCTGCAGCCTGCAGCCGAGTGGGGGCGCTTGCTTCTGGGCCCTAAGAAAGGACCCTTGCTTTCCTCTTCCTGGGGGCTAACTGCTGAACACCACGGGCTTGTTGTTCGGATCCAGGAGATTTGGGATCCTGCCCTCTGAGCTCTCAACACCCCCCAGCTTCTGAACCACCCTACGAATGTCGGGGAACCTTGCAACAGCCCAGCCTGGGAACACTAGGCAGGGGGTTCAGGGGGTGACCCCGCCCACCCACCGCCTCACTAAAACAAAGGCAAGGCTTGGCTGTTTAGGATCAGAAGACCTAAACCTGTTGCCCTGAGATTTCCGTCCTCAGCCAGCAGCCTGGGTTGGAAGGTACCTTCTTAGAAATCACAGGAGCTCCTTACAGTCCGTACGTCGAAAGCACTTGCCTCCAGGACTGGGTGCTGCCTCACCCAGCCCTGCTTCGTTTTGCCTTTTTAGGGCTCGGGATTTTATTCCTCTTTGTTTCCACAAGGATTGGGCCAAACAACGAATTTTTAACAGGTGGCCCCAAGGCAAGGGGACTTTCCAAGGAGTGAGTCTGTGGCGGCTGGGGGCCGACATTTTCTGTGTGGTAGAGCACGACAGACGCGAGGAGAGTAATGGAGAACAGCCCCCCTTAACCTCACGGTTCACAGACAGTCACTGACATTCAGACACTCCCGGAGGGAAGCTCATATAACTGGCCATGAAACCAGAAACCAGGAGGCTGACGGGCTAACGGGTCCAGGGAGGGTTCTCTTCCCTGGGGGGCCCCTCCCAGGCGGGGGCCACGATGATGGGCCTGCAGCCATGCATGGGGGAGCTCCAGGCCTGCAGGGTCCTTTGACCAGCCCCACTCAGGATGCCGCCCTGGGACTTCCCAGGGCCCAGGGCTGCCCTTTAGGCTCCGGGACGCACAGGCCCCAGGGAGGTGGAGGGGAGAGGAGGCTCCAGGCCAGGGGACTCCCAGGGAGCTGGGCTGGCCCGGAACCATCTCGCCCTCGGAAGTGCCCAGGGGGTGGAAGGGAGGGAGAGGGTGAACCGTTCTACGTGGAGAGGTCCCGGCGTCTAAGACAGAGAAATGAATCTCGAGGGCCATTCAGATGAGAAGCCAGCCCGAGGAAGGGACGCAGAGCTCGAGGAGGAGGTCGGGGGCAGCAGCACCGGGGAGTGATGGAGAAGCCGTGGGTGGCGGGTCAGAGGACGCCGCGGCGGCCAGCTCGCTGCCTGGCTACCTCCAAGGCAGAGAGCCCGAGCTCCCGGTGCAAAGGCACTGGCGGCACTGCGCTGTGGCCTGTGACGCCCCCAAAACATACACCACACTTTAAAGAGCTCATTGCACAGTTCGGGGGCGAGCAGCAAGTCCACCTTACGCCGGTCACTTGGGGCACAGGCTGGACGGCAGGCCGAGCAGGGGTGGAGACCGTCATTCTCCTGACTTAGGGATACTCCAACTCAGGAGAACTTTCACAGTTCTAAATATATAAGCAAGTCACTGTCGGGACTGAGCCCATGGCGAG